GGAAGAATTCAGGAGAGAGAATTCCTGGATAGTTTAAGGTGGATTAGTCGCACAAATGTTGGAAGAAGTGCAATCATCCTCAAGGTGCTTAGATCGAGCTTGCCTTGACATCAAATTTATTTTAGTTTAGTCATAATTGACCCTATTGTTTAGATTTTCTTCAAAAATATCATTTGTCAACATCAATATTAAATTATTGAATAATAGATTACTAATTTTTTATGACAAAACATTACTTAGAAGAAGATTTATAATAGAACTGTAGAAATAAAATGCAACAGAAAATATGTATTTATTTGCTTGGCTACACCTGTATCGATTTCGGATTATTAGCAATAACAATATAATTTTCAGGTCACGATTACTCTGGTATGTATTTGTAGACTGTATTTGTGTTGCGATGAGGCGCAAGTATTGCCACCTCCTCGTACCACAAAATGGAAATATAACAAGATCCTTGAGAAAGCTGATAATGAGTATGCTAGAGATCATAAATAGTTGTTATTTTTTATTATGTACTGTGTTTCTTCAATGGTCTAACAGACCGTGGGCGGAAAATGCTTTGACAAGTGCATCACCAAACCTGGTAGTAGCCTTAGTGGCAGTGAGAGCAGTTGCATCTCCAGGTGTGTGGATCGTTATATTGAGGCCACTGGTATCATTGGCAAAGCACTCTTCAACCAACAGCACTGAAAGCTATGTGGAATTACTGGAGACTCAGTTTGAGTAGGCTAGAAATGGGATATTATTCTTCAATGCTTTTGATACTGCTTTCCATTTTAACATCAAAATGGAAATATCTGAATGAGTACTTATAACCTTCTAGTTTAGTGAAATACAGAATTTGCCTCAATTATTTATATGGTACTGTTCCATCATTCTTTATATTCATTTCCTTTTTCTAATTTGCCATTCTTCCCTGGCACGAGTTTATTGATAGAAACGAGTCTACCTATCACTCAAGAAATGAACCCTGGTTTGATTGATAGTTCTCTACATGATAAAATTGCTCATCGAAAAATAACTTAGATAGTGGAAAGACTTGAAACCCGAGTTAGCCCAAGCAAGTTGAATTCGAATTACAAATAACACTAGCTGCAATTATGAAATGATCAATGCCAAAAATTGAAATTTTGGAATGACCTTGACGTGTTTAAATATGGTTTAAGTTTTTAGAAAAAAGAAATTCTGTTATTGAAGAACCAGCAGCAGCTTAACATGAAAGACCATACGGGTCCATTTACTTCCTGAGGGTCTGCAACACGTACTCAGCATAAAGGTCCCTGCATAAATGTACTAATTTTAATTAAATGTGAGATTTTAGGTTTATATATAACATGAAATGAAAACATCAAATCCGAAGCTTACATGGAGTACTGATGGCATCTATAGCAGTAGATGCAGGCGAAAACTCATTAATAGCAACCTCTTTGTTCTCATTCTTCTTGTCTATATTGTCAAGAAAAAATTGAGATTAATGTTAGATAGAATAAAATTAAATTTAAGGATACAGTCTTCAATGAAGCGGCGGATTTCAGCTAGACGATGAGGCGGAAGCTGGCTGATGTCAGTGTATTGACGGTATTCTGGATCATCAGCACATACTGCAATTATTTTATCATCTTTCTCTACCTAATAAATACATAAAACTTATGATCAAAACACCGTGATATGGAAAAAATATTTCAGCTTTGGTTTGGTAGCGAGACTGCACCTGATCAATCATAGGCATCAGTCCTATGGCCCTAGCCCGAAGAAAACAACCGGGGACCACATGTTCCTGTAAATCGAAAATTAAATTAATCGAGGAAAAAACACAAGTCAAGAATTAATCTACACGGAACGTAATATACCTGCATAAGTATTAGTACATCGATAATTGTGAGGATACACCACCGAGGAATACAACACACGATCAACCTACACACTTGAATAAGCAAGCTCGAGAATTAATTATTTGATTAAAATGATATTTTAATGATGATTAATTAGTTAGGAACCTTGATGAGACCAGTTTATTTGTCAAGTTCATATTTTACTTTACTTCCTTTGGGTATCTCAATCACCTGCATGCGATTGAGGATACAGAGAGACAAGTCATTCGATACATCAAATCAAATCTGATCTGATTGATGAAAGAGTTGGGGAAAACTGGCTCACGACATTGATCATAGAACCTTGCTACACTTACATACACAATCATTTCACATGTGTGTGGAGTCCACAATGGGCGGTACCCAACCCTCTCACATGTGTGTGGGGTTCACAATGGGGCCCACATTGTGGACCCCACGCACATGTGAGAGGGTTGTGTACTACGTATGTACAAGTAGCATTTTTCTTGACGATATGGGGTGCTTCAGGTCCTAGCCTCCAAGAAACCAAAACAATTATTTGTTCGATTTTCGAGAGACTTTTGATCCTTAAAAATGAAAATTAATATAAGATGACGAAACGAAAATAATGTACCAATCTCCAGATCATGACAATGATAGCAGCAACTGATCGTCTAGACAAATATGAGAGGATCCTCTCATTTAATTTGGGAGCCTGCCTTCTTCACTCATCCTTAATAATTAAAATAAATATGTAAAGTCCGTTTATTTTTACGATATGCAAAATGTAAATGTCAATCCCACTCCCACGTGGAAGCTTTTAAGTGGTCTAAATGAATTGAGATGTGGACTTGGTGTTAATCGAACACGGAAAGCACATAGGAAATTACGCCTAATCACAAGCCTCCTTCCTTGTGATAATGTGGAAAATTTCTCAATTCTTCATTATCGGTCCCCTCCCAATCCCATCCTTCTAAATTATTAAGGTCGTAATATTCTTTATTTTGCTAATCAATTAATGACCTAATCTTTTTTGGCTGACTCAACCACTACTTTTTGGGCTCTCCTAATTTTTCTTNTGGTCCAGGACATAGTCTAATGTAAGTTAGGATACCTGGATATCCAAAAAAAAAAAAAGATGAGAGGATCCTCTCATTTAATTTGGGAGCCTGCCTTCTTCACTCATCCTTAATAATTAAAATAAATATGTAAAGTCCGTTTATTTTTAAAAAATGTAAATGTCAATCCCACTCCCACGTGGAAGCTTTAAAGTGGTCTAAATGAATTGAGATGTGGACTTGGTGTTAATCGAACACGGAAAGCACATAGGAAATTACGCCTAATCACAAGCCTCCTTCCTTGTGATAATGTGGAAAATTTCTCAATTCTTCATGATCGGTCCCCTCCCATCCTTCTAAATTATTAAGGTCGTAATATTCTTTATTTTGCTAATCAATTAATGACCTAATCTTTTTTGGCTGACTCAACCACTACTTTTTTGGGCTCTCCTAATTTTTCTTCTTTGCTAATATCTGGATAATTTGATAGATTTCAAAGTTTTTAGGTTTTTCAATCTTTATCACAACAGTTTGGGAAAATAAAAATTTAGCCATGGTTCCTGACGCTTGAGCTCAATAGAACTAGGGTTCGAAACTTGTTCGATAACATTTAGGTTTCAGGTCATTTTGGACTATTTCTGTCTATAATAGACATTCTTTAGCACCCGTTTGGCCCCATTATTTCAAATTGTAATGAGAGGAATAGTAATATTTTGGAAAATGTATAGCTAAAAAAGATGAAATTTTTTTTGATTTATGTGTAATATTATTCTATTGGAGAATGTATAGTTCATAAAAAAAAATTATAATTTAAGGAGAAATAATTGAACAAATGAGAGAGACAGTGGATTGTCCAACATCGTACTACTATTTACCAGGCAAGGAAAAGGATGGACACTTGCAACTTGTCATTCCAAGGTATAACTGAAAACAACACAAAAGGAACATATTCATCAATTATTTTACACAAAAATCAAGCAATGACCATGAGGTGACAGTGACACCTCCTGTAAATTAGATACTAATTTTGATAAAAGCTGATGAAATGTATAATTGAAAAGTGATAAAATTTGTGAAATTCATAAAATGTCAGACTAATATTAATTATTGACTTTAACATCAATATGATAGGAACTTTTTGGGTTATTCCAAACAAGCACTTAATCAGCTATTTGACAAGGTATTTGAAAAGTTAAAATTAATTTTTTGATATGTTCGAATAACTTTTTGACAATGTTTTGTTTAAATAGAAGAGTTTTTATAGAAAGTTGGCTCCAGATAATTTTCTCCAAAGACTCTAATACAAAAGGTATAAGCATAAATTATTTCAAACAAGCCATAAGTTTATGAAAATAGGAGACTTCCATTCAACAAGGCCTTTAGAACCTGAAAAGATTCACAGTTGCGACCAAATTTTCAAGGCTCAATGAGTATATATTTATGAAGAAAATATGGGAAATTCTCCATTCCAAATACTAGACTCCTTAAGTAGCCAACATTAATCAAGAGCATTAACTCTGTTGTAGCATCAATCATACAAGTAAGCTGCAATCTGATTTGATGATCATGAACATGAACCATAAAGATTTTCACAATCTTGAACAAAACAAATTATGATAATGAAGTACCAAGATATCTGAAAATACGAAATCGAGTCATGGATATTTACTCAATGGTGAAACGACGTTTTTACCGTGCTACTCCTGCAAATCTACAATGAGTGCAACTTCTCTGAAGAGGCATATTCGACAACACATTAAAACCATCCTTAATCACACTTGCATTATTTTACAGCCTTTCTGAGTAACTGTTCAATTTACACGCATTCCATCCCAACACAACTTTAAAAAGGAAAATAATGTTACACGTTCCACAGGTTCAAATACACATCAAATTAACAGAGGTCCAGTATGTTTTTCAGACAATGAACATAGACAGTGAAGTGACACAAGATCAAGTGTTACCCAAGTAGAGCCATATCCTTCACTACCACTAAAACGACACAGCACAGCACAAAAAGAGACGAGCCAAACTTGGTAAAATTGAAAGTTGATCTCCTAAGGATTGAATTGAAAAGTTCAACAAGTTCCGTGAGAAGCCTCACTCGTCAGATCTGTTGTCTTTCTATCTGGACTGTCACATGACTGATGTTGTGTTCCGTCTTGATATAGTCAATGACTTTGTCCAGCACCATGTCAGCATCTGCTTCAGGGTTAATTTTGACATGGCAAGCTAATAACACTTTCCCCACAGTAATTGCCCATATATGCAATTCATGGATGGCAACAACTTCTTCCATCTCACAAAGACCCTTCTCAAGCCTTGTTGCATCAATCTCTCTGGGAGTACTCTCCATAAGAACCTCAAAAATGTTTCGTAGCATATTGACTGTAGTGCCCAGCACAATTACTGAAAAAACGAGGGTACAAATCAGATCAATGATTTTCCACTCTGGCTTATACCAGATAATTGCTCCACCAATCATAACCCCAATGCTTTGTACGGAATCTCCTAGCACATGAAGGTAAGCCCCCTGAACATTTATATTTCGCTTCTTCTTCTGCTTATCTTTGCCTTCTGATTTACCTTCACCTTCAGAGGAACTTGTTAGCAAAGGCTCAGTGTGGTCTTCATCGTGGACATAATGATGCTCATCGTATCTGGAGGGTCCCTCATGATGGTGATGCCGGGTGACACTAACTCCATGATTGTGCACATGTTCGTGGTCATGGTCTAGGTCGTGAGCCTTATGGCCATGACCGTGATCATGAGCATGGCCATGCCCGTGATCATGTCCCAACAAGACCGCCATAATAACATTGACCAGCAGTCCAAATGCAGAAACCAAAAACATCAAAAAGCCCTTTACTTCGCCTGTATCATGCATAAGTCGAACAACGGCTTCATAGACAAGGATCACAGCAAGAAGCCAAATCAATTGAATTGAAATTAATGCCCCCAAAATCTCGATTCTAAAAAAACCATAAGACTGACGTGGATTAGCTTCCCATCCTGCGGCCCATAGAGAAAACAAAGATATTGCAAAAGCTGCAACATCTGATAGCAAATGAGCTGCATCAGTCAAAATTGCAAGACTATTGGCTTTGATACCCCCAAAAACTTCAATGCTTATAAAAACAATGCACAACGCAACAGCAATCAAAAGCTTCCTCATAGAAGCTGAACGCTCATGTGCATCTGCAGAACTGGTTTTGGCGTCAGCAAAACCACATGGCGCCTCTCCACATCCCTTGCTTCCAGCAAAGCCCCTTTCTGTGGCTGGCACATCAGTGCATACCTCAATAACATGTCCAAGATCTGAATTTTCCGTACCCATCTAGGTACATGAAAAAATCATGAATTACACAAAAGTATCAAAGCTTACTCATAGTCATGCACATCATTGAGTCAAAAGTGTGATGAAGAAGCACAACATCCATACATATCTAGTAAGAAAACACCACTGAAAAACAATACTATAGGCTTACAAAATCAGGTAAATCTTAACGAATACATCTGGAATTTAAGTTCTCTGTTTACATAAACCAAGGGGCATAAAAAGGGGGGATGGGCCAACAAACAAAACAGGAACACAAATATATAAAATATATAAGCAATAACTAGGCAAAATAGGTGACTTAAAAGGATGGAGATGAAATAACTTGGTAAACCTGAAGGGGTGATTCCAAAAAAAAAAAAGTGGAAAGAAATTTATGACGAGTCAACTTAGGGTGATCCTGGTATCTTAAACCGATTGTTGCCTTGTGTGTGCACATAACATATAATTTCAAAAAGCAAACCAATCCCTAACATATATATTCTAGCATCTGAATCCAAGAAAAGAGATAGAAAGGAATCAATCAATAAAAAGTAGACATGCATACCTGCAATTTCTAATATGATCAACTAAATAGAGACTTAGACCTCATTGAGCTATGAAGCAATAACTATGTGAATATATTTGAATTATCCAAAAGAATCAGTAAAAAGTCAATACACTACCTCACTTGCAGCCATTACTTTTATATAAGTATTACTGTATTATGCATGTGCCATGCCGTCTATATATGTATAGACAATCAAAAGGGAACATGAAGAAGTCAACACAGAGGCATCGCAACTATATAAAAAATAGATCATATAGAATCAAAACAAAAAGAAAAAACAGCAGGAAAAATGAGATGTTATTACGTATATTTCGTCGAAGAAATTGAAATTTGCTGTGCGATTAGGCGAATGATGCTTGGGTGAGAGGAACTAGAAAGAAAAATGTATCATTGAGACTGAGGGAGGACTTGAATGTGTGAATTAACTTTGTTGTTTTGTGGTTTAAATTAAATTTGGTGGATTAGTTGTCAAGTTTAAAGATAGTAATTGGATGGGCACAGAATCTCAACTTACAGAATAATATGTGCTATTTATGACAATTGGATCCACGTCCCACTCACCCTTTTATAGTTAAATAAAATAGTATTAAATAGTCCGAGTACAAATATCTTTCCGTCGGTCTATCTCATGCTTTAATATACCTAATCCTATCCCCAACTCTTCCGTGGACCCGAGTGAACTGACTC